GAACGAAGGTTTCCTTTTTTCTCCTAAATAAATTTCGTATTCGTAAGTAACTGAACAGATTCGCTACGATATTCAAAAAACATACTTTTTTATAGACGTTTCAAGACAAAGCGGATGTGTCAATCACCTTTTGTTGCAAAGAAATAAATTACCATGTGTGTGTGATCTCACTCTGTAGGTCTCATAAATACCTAAAAATCTTATTTGAAGAGTTTTCTCGTACCTACCAATACCTTCCTTCGATTGAATCCCAAAAACACGTTTTCCCATTGTTTGGTCGTCGAATAAAAAGTTTTCCCACAAAAATTGGTGTAACCATTTTTGCGTCCATGTTTTAAATACCCCCTTGAACAACTTGCATCAATAAGACCAGACTTTACAATTATTTCGAGGAAATTTGCTAATACGATTGGACTATCAACGAAACATACAAAAACGTGGATTAGAATTCAAATTAAACAATCTTGATCTGGTCCAGAAATTGGAAAATATGCCAAAACCAATGAGTTTGAGAGACAAACAACATACTGTAACTTTATCAAAGTATTTAGTTCTGAAGAGGCCAATTATGTCATAGAAAGTAAAACATCCGATAATGGATACAGGTACGTTCTAATTAATTAAGTAGGCGAATATTGTACCTCAGTGATGTCGTTTATGTGGAATTTCCGTCTCTTCACTACTTTAGTGTCCTCAGATTCGTCGTCTGTATCTATTAAACCTGTTTACCAATTATACTGATCTGATATAAATTTTTTACCTTGAAGAGGTGAGTGTGCGTATGAATATAAGCATCATTAATAAATTGGACTGTTGATGAATATACCTTAATTTTAAAGAGTTTCGGCTATTGGATTCCATGTATGACTGTGCGATCAATGAAATCCTGTTACTATAGGGAACCGTTGTCGTTTAAGAAATTATATAATATATAGTCACTAGTGGCCACCATCAAGTGACCTGTTTCTTTAAGAAATTAGTAATGCAGAATAACATAACCCTTATTTTCATCCTATTGTTGTCCGATGACTCAGTTTTGAAGCTAATTTTGAGAGCGATACGAACTTGGCTTTGATGGAGGCAAAGCGTTCTGTGAAAATATTACGAAAAATCACTTACTGATATAAATGATTAGATTGTAGGTAAATATACCAACTTTCAAGTAAATTATTACTTTATACTGAATACAAAATAGATATTTTGAAACTGTTATGACATTCTCAAAAAACTTTTTGTTTTTTCAGTCAACGTAGTGGTTACAAAAAAGCAAACGGACAACAATAGTAAATATTTAGCTTTTTATAAATATGTGTCAAAAATAAACAGAAATTCATGTACCCATTAGTAGTTATATCGAAAGCAGCTAACAGTAATTCCTGATGCCAATTGCTATTAAACATACTTATCAAAAATTATCAAGTGTGCTCCGTTACATCGAGAAACCAAAAATATCATTTGTAGGTCAAGCGCCAAAACTGTGCGATAACGATAGATTAATGATTTATTGGATTTCTCGCATTGTCCATAAAAAGAATCAACAGTGGATATTTAGCAATCTAATAAGTTAGCGATTTTTTACGTCACACGCTACAGATAAGGGTAAAAAAAACATGGATAAGACCAAGCTTGTACGGTCATGATTTCTATTTTACCGTAATGTTAGCTGGTATTTTACACTAAATAGGATTTTTAGAATATGCGAACATGCTTAGGTGTCACTATTTAATTAACAGAGACAGAATTCCTTTAAAGGCGTATTCGCATCGGTTGTACCACAAGGTTCCATTTTAGGTCCACGAATTTTTAATATTTACACCTCCCACCTATGCCAATGCCTCCGTTAATTATCAAATTATATACAGGATGTTAATAAAGTACGTGCCATAAATTTAACAAACAATTCTTTCTCTACAGGATGTTAAGGTTACAAAAAAATGATTTTTTCGCAAATACCCTAAAAATATCCTTTACCTAATTTTGTTGTAATTTTGCGGTGGTATTTATAACATTGAGGTAGCTAAGTTTGCCCTAATTTGATTAAATGTATTAAGTCCAGTGGCGCCTCGAGCGAGATCTGAACGAATATTTATGACAAAAAATGTACGCCACTGAGTTTTGTGCAATTTTTGTTGATCATTGAACTTGAGATTAATCAAATAGAAATACAACTTTTTTGCCTCTGGTATTTTTTATGCAATTTAGTTGACTTTTTTATTCTCAAAAACTAGACAATATATACTAAGTGACATATAAATCCGAACACCCAGTTTAAATGGTTTTATTTCAATAAAAGTTGGTGAATGTATTTATCTTACTGTAAATAACAAGTGAAAAAATTTTCAGCCTTATCAGTTGGACATTCCGGTTTTTATACTGCTTTTTTTTAATTCACTAACGCTCTAAAAATGAATATTTCAGCCGCAGTAAAGAATCAACGTTGGTGGATCTTGGTTCTTGACATCCTTTACGATCGGTTACGATGCCTAGAGTACGGAGACCTGTACGATTTCGTCAACTTAGTGAGTTTGATAGGGGCCGTATAGTGGGACTTCGGGAAGCTGGACTTTCTTTTCGGGCAATTGCAGTTAGAGTGCAAAGAAGTGTAGACACTGTGGTTAGGTGTTGTCAGGCATGGCTTCGAGAAGGCCGTACGCAAAGAGCAAGGGGCACTGGACGCCGCCGTAGAACAACAGACCGTGAAGATCGCCGCCTAAGATTATTGGCCTTAAGGGACCGTTTCTCCACTACCAGGTCCATTGCAAATGAATGGTTTGCAGAACACGCAAGACCTATTGGCATGCGAAGTGTTTACCGACGAATGAGAAGTTTTAGCTTGTTTTCATAGCGGCCACACTGGGTCCTCCCTTTAACTCGAGAACACCGACGTAATCGCCTTGAGTGGTGCAGATAACGGTCACTCTGGGATCAGGAATGGAACAGTATTGTCTTTAGTGACGAGTCTTGATTTGGTTTACGCATGCACGATGGTCGTGCCAGGGTTAGAAGGCGACGTGGTGAAAGGAGGAATCCACAGTTTTTTGTTGAAAGACATGTTCATCACACTATTGGAGTTATGGTTTGGGGTGCTATAGCTTATGGTTCCAGGTCACCTTTAATCTTCATCAGAGGTAACATGAACGCGCAGCTTTATATCCACGAAGTTCTAGAACCCCATCTTTTACCCTATCTTGACACCCTGGCAGATCCAACTTTCCAACAAGATAATGCCCGACCACATGTTGCAAGAGTCACAATAGACTTCTTTCAACATAATGATGTCACATTGTTACCATAGGCCACCAAGATCTCCCAACTTATCCCCAATTGAGCACGTGTGGGATATGATGGGTAGGAGATTGCTCAATTTGCAACGTCCTCCTCAGACTCTAGAAGCACTTCGAGAGGAGTTGGTGGTTGCCTGGAATTGGATACCACAGGAGGACATTGACCACCTGATCAGAAGCATGCCTAGGCGCGTTGGAGAATGCGTAGCACATCAGGGTGCATCCACACATTATTAAAAGTCAAAGGGCTTTAAAGCACTGCAAACATTTTGAAATTTTTATCATTTACTTATTATGCTTCATTAAGTACTTACACAAAATTTTATTAAAATAAAACCATTTAAACTGGGTGTTCGGATTTATATGTCACTTAGTATACGAACAAAATTCAAAAGTTGTATTTCTATTTGCTTAATCCAAAGAACATAATAAAAATTACGTTAGTTAGCGGTGTACATTTTTGTCACAACTTCATGAATTTAATTAAGTTAGGTCTAAATTATAAATACTACCGCCAAATTACAGAAAATTAGATAAGTGATATTTAAAAGTATTTACGAAACACCATTTTTTTTTTAAATTTTAACACCCTGTGTCTTTTAAGAACGAAGAATTTGCAGACTTATGTTTATATGTACTTTTTGTCAGAAAATTACTCAAGGAATCGTCTTTAAATTTATGGTACATACTTAATTAACACCCTGTATCCTGATGATACTTAACTTTACATATAATATAAAATGCTTTGGAGATTTAAACACATTGACTAGTGATATTAAATTTATACTTGTAAATTCATTGATCGTTACACATTATGGATTATGGTGTCACAGTTTATAATAACTTCCTTACAGAGGAAATAAGTCAAAAAAGTTCAAATTTTACACAGTCCTTGCATAGGATTTTGTTAAACCAGAGTACATCATTGGTTACTATGTGACAGAAGACATTTTGAAATTTAAGTATATACTGTTCATTCCTTTTTATGGTGCTCCGTTGTATAAAGTTTTAAGATATAAATATCCAAATTATCTGTATAATGTTTTAGAGAAGAGCTCATCTGTTCGCCACGTTCTTCTACGAAACTATGAATGTTATAGTATTCCAGGCCATGTTTCATCTAAACTCAAAAAAGCTTTCACCTACTTTGTTTGTTGAATAAATACTTAGAACTTTTCCAAATTACATCCAGTCATTACTTTAATAATGAATTTAAGAAGGTGCTTTTTCAGTTACAATCTTCTGAAGCTATAGATTACTAACTAACGATTTACTGTTGTATTTTTGATTACATTGGTACCTCGATTATAACACTACTTACTCCGTGCAAAAAATTACAGATAAGATGAAGCTCACGACTATATAAAATAATTTTAACTTACTAATGGCAATACTAATCCTCGGCCTTTTGGGGTGCTGTTTTTTTTAGTACATATTTATCTTTATTTTGTATAAGTGTTCCAATAAACATTATAGTTATTATTATTTATTCTTCTTTCAATCCTAATGAGAGATATGATGCCTTATCTATTATATACTAAGTGTCGTAAAAAAAGAACTCCCAGTAATAAATTTATTACAAAGATCTTGTAGGTATATGTTTCAAGTAGATACATACGACTGCATGAGCATTTTTATATGATACTGACTAACTAAGAAATAGAGCAGAAGTTGGACATCAGTAATCGAAACATACGATAACTGAATATTACTTACAAGTGCATTTTTCTGTCTTCTTGACATCGTTGTAGGTAGTTTGAGATCAGCAGCCACAGCCATATTTTCCTCTACAGTAAGCAAAGGTTGCAATCTGTCATCCTGTGTGATGTAACAGGAGGACTTCCTGAACGACTTTAGGTTCCTAGGCATTCCATTTACGTATACAGTACCGCCCACTCCTGTCATTTTGTAGCCGCTAAGTACGTCGAGGAGAGTACTTTTACCAGCACCTGAAGGGCCCATGATGGCGATCAACTGGCCTGGCGGGAATCGACCGTTTACTCCGTGTAGGATTTCTTTCTGCCCTGAAAGGCAAAATACCGTATGAATCCAAACAAGCAATTATACTTAAACGACAATACTACAAGCAAAATATTTGTATATGCGACTAAAATTTTTAGGTGAGTATAAGGAGCGTATTTAGAAGGGGTATTAAGTCCAAATTCCAGAATTTCTGCACCACAAAGTGTCCATGTTAACGGATGCAAATCCGGAACTCTATTTCGATACGACCGACGTTCAATTTTTTGCCAAAGCGAAGGAGATGTTCGGGTTCTAACAGAACATTTAGTAGGAACCGAAGACGAATATTTAGTGTAAATTAGTGCGGGTTGCCTTAGAAAAATAAAGTACAGGAGAAACGAACTTTTGTGCCCTTGGTTATGGTCCTTGTAAGGTGTCACCTCAGATTTTATTGTGTTGTATTAAAATTAGAAAAAAGTTATGGTAATTTGATGAGTAGGAATAAAAATGATATAATGCTTAATTTAATGTACATTGTAATCTCGCAAATGCGAAGAGTTACGCAGTAAAATTAGAGAAATATACTAAGTGACGTATAGATCCGAACACCCAGTTTAAATGGTTTTATTTTAATAAAAGTTGGTGAATGTATTTATCTTACTGTAAATAACAAGTGAAAAAATTTTCAGCCTTATCAGTTGGACATTCCGGTTTTTATACTGCTTTCTTTTATTCACTAACGCTCTAAAAATGAATATTTCAGCCGCAGTAAAGAATCAACGTTGACGGATTTTGGTTCTTGACATCCTTTACGATCGGTTACGATGCCTAGAGTACGGAGACCTGTACGATTTCGTCAACTTAGTGAGTTTGATAGGGGCCGTATAGTGGGACTTCGGGAAGCTGGACTTTCTTTTCGGGCAATTGCAGTTAGAGTGCAAAGAAGTGTAGACACTGTGGTTAGGTGTTGTCAGGCATGGCTTCGAGAAGGCCGTACGCAAAGAGCAAGGGGCACTGGACGCCGCCGTAGAACAACAGACCGTGAAGATCGCCGCCTAAGATTATTGGCCTTAAGGGACCGTTTCTCCACTACAAGGTCCATTGCAAATGAATGGTTTGCAGAACACGGAAGACCTATTGGCATGCGAAGTGTTTACCGACGAATGAGAAGTTTTGGCTTGTTTTCATACCGGCCACACTGGGTCCTCCCTTTAAGTCGAGAACACCGACGTAATCGCCTTGAGTGGTGCAGACAACGGTCACCCTGGGATCAGGAATGGAACAGTATTGTCTTTAGTGACGAGTCTCGATTTTGTTTAGGCATGCACGATGGTCGTGCCAGGGTTAGAAGGCGACGTGGTGAAAGGAGGAATCCACAGTTTTTTGTTGAAAGACATGTTCATCACACTGTTGGAGTTATGGTTTGGGGTGCTATAGCTTATGGTTCCAGGTCACCTTTAATCTTCATCAGAGGTAACATGAACGCGCAGCGTTATATCCACGAAGTTCTAGAACCCCATCTTTTACCCTATCTTGACACCCTGGCAGATCCAACTTTCCAACAAGATAATGCCCAACCACATGTTGCAAGAGTCACAATAGACTTCATTCAACATAATGATGTCACATTGTTACCATGGCCACCAAGATCTCCCGACTTATTCCTAATTGAGTACGTATGGGATATGATGGGTAAGAGATTGCTCAATTTGCAACGTCCTCCTCAGACTCTAGAAGCACTTCGAGAGGAGTTGGTGGTTGCCTGGAATGAGATACCACAGGAGGGCATTGACCACCTGATCAGAAGCATGCCTAGGCGCGTTGGAGAATGCGTAGCACATCAGGGTGCATTCACACATTATTAAAGGTGAAAGGGCTTTAAAGCAGTGCAATCATTTTGAAATTTTTATCATTTATTTATTATGCTTCATTAAGTACTTATACAAAATTTTATTAAAATAAAACCATTTAAACTGGGTGTTCGGATTTATATGTCACTTAGTATATTTTACGTCAATTATCATATATAACAAAAATTTTAAAAGTATTTCTCTGATTTCACATGATCCAAATCATATAATCGCTTCAATAGCATGAAGGAATTGCCAGCGCCTATAAAGATAGCCTCGGCTAGTTTTGGTCTCTGTGGGTTTTGTTTGTGGATGCTATATGAAACCCCCATTTTTCAAATGGTTTCTCAGCCAATCGTAAATATTCATCTTGGTTTAATTTGGCATAGGGAATGAATAACACATTCAATACACTGTTGTCAGTTAGGATATTGCAGATATCATTGGAGGCGTCACAAATATCTTCCGTGATCGTAGTTGAGTATTTTTGGAAATAAATAGATCAAACAGCTACACATTCACATATTTATGGAACATGAACCATGTTCGCAGTTATAGTATACAATAAAGTCAGCAAGCTAACCATTCAATTCTTTTACTGTTTAACAATGGAATAAGCTAAATATATAAAGTCGTTGATTCGAACTGATAATAAAAGTTTTATGCTTCTAAAATTATTGAAAAGGTGGACATATTATGTGGCAATAATAGTAATTCATAAATTAGTAACAAACATTTAAAATAAACTTTAAAACTTGAATGTATAAATGTTATATGATATGTTTTCTATTATATTGTTGCAAAATTATATCGTTCCACGTACAGGCAATACCTTCTTTAAACCCATTGTTTTACATTTACTAACGTTGTTTTATTTGTAGTTTGGATAAATAAATATTATATGATGAATACTAATAAGTAGTACTTATTACGCGAACAACACATAGTGAATTGGCTTTTTATTTTTGTATGTTCGTTCTGTGACACTAAACATCTCACAAAATTCTGGTACTAACTGGTAGCTAAAAGATATTTCAGACTACCTCAGAGGTTTGAACAGAGAAGAATGTAAAAGCTTACGAGGTCTGCAAATTAAGTGATGATACTGATTTTTTTAAATTCGCTGACCAAGACTATAAACATTTTTCACTCCCCCAATAAGCGATATTCTCGCAAAATTTCTTGTGAGTACAAACCTTCAGCTTTCTGCTAAGCGCTCGACTTTTTTGCCTGTAAGGCAGAATGTTGACCGAAGTTATACTACAGACTATACATACAACTATGGTCATCTGAATGATAACAGGTACACGTTTCGACGTTAATCCACAATTCTTACACTGGTACGAGAGATGTCTTAAGTTTTGCATATAGAAACATAGTAGGCCGCGCGGATAGAACGTCAGTACTGAATCTTAAACTCACTCTTTAGTAAACTTAAATTCAAAGTTTCACAACAATATGTGCAGTGTTCTCAGTACAGTGAATTTTTAAATGTCACCAAGTCATTAGAAAAATGGAATTCAACCGAGAACATTTTCGCGCCATAATTTATTACAACTTTCAGAGACAATTATCGCAACAAGAATGCCTTGCTGAGTTACTGTCTGTTTTCGGCAACGAAGCGCCACATCAGTCGACAATTTCCCGTTGGTCTGGAGAATTCAAACGTGGACGAAACAATCGTCCTCCACCAAGGCAATGCAAGCTCGCCCACAGTCAAAAAAACAAGGCAGTATTTAAGGGAAGAAAACGTGGAATTATTGGACCATCCTCCATATAGTCCTGATCTAAGTCCTATCGATTTCTTCACATCCCCGAAAATTAAAAACAGACTGTTCCAGTCACCAGAAGAAGCAGTTGACGCATTCAAAAATGCCGTTTTGGATCTGCCAGCAAACGAGAGGAATAAATGCTTCGAAAATTGGTTGTAGCGCTTGAATACTTCGAAAAACAATAAAGTCATTTAAAACTACCTGCCGTATTGTTTTATTTCCATATGCAAAACTTAAATGACATCCCTCGTACTTGTTTGTTGTTAAAAATACCCTGTCCTATGGAAAAAAATGGTATTGTCAGGGCGTGTATCTAACGCTAGAAAGATCGACTTTTAATTGATACTTTTAACAAAAATTGCTGCATGCTATGCTCACGTTTAAAACACTCAATGTGAGAGTGATTATACGTATTATGATATAAAACGTTTCAAGTTAGTAAACTAACAACTATCCTAACTTTTTGCTAATTATTATAATCATGTAAAATAGATAATATATCAAATATCATGTACTATAATAAGTTATTTGTTGCGTCATCGGGCATCAATAAGTGATTAAAGAAGATACATTTTTCCACAGTACTGTAAGGATGCATCAAAAATGGTGGCCTGTAGATTAAGTCCTATGCATTGATATACCGACGTCTTTTTGAAAAATTTCAGACCTATGATATTTCAACATTTTAGCTCACTTAAACAATGTTTTGAGACCGCCCAAATGCTCAGAATTTTCAAAAATGTTGCAAAACAAATTTTGGAAAGTATTGTCAATCTTGATTCGATCAGAAATCGTCAGGTAACGGAGTATTGAAGATAGATGAAATTGGGTCGTATCTTACTTTTGCGTGCAAAATAGACAATATATACTAAGTGGTGAATGCATTTATCTTACTGTAAATAACAAGTGAAAAATTTTTCAGCCTTATCAGTTGAACATTCCGGTTTTTATACTGCTTTTTTTTTAATTCACTAACGCTCTAAAAATGAATATTTCAGCCGCAGTAAAGAATCAACGTTGGCGGATTTTGGTTCTTGGCATCCTTTACGATCGGTTACGATGCCTAGAGTACGGAGACCTGTACGATTTCGTCAACTTAGTGAGTTTGATAGGGGCCGTATAGTGGGACTTCGGGAAGCTGGACTTTCTTTTCGGGCAATTGCAGTTAGAGTGCAAAGAAGTGTAGACACTGTGGTTAGGTGTTGTCAGGCGTGGCTTCGAGAAGGCCGTACGCAAAGAGCAAGGGGCACTGGACGTCGCCGTGGAACAACAGACCGTGAAGATCGCCGCCTAAGATTATTGGCCTTAAGGGACCGTTTCTCCACTACCAGGTCCATTGCAAATGGATGGTTTGCAGAACACGGAAGACCTATTGGCATGCGAAGTGTTTACCGACGAATGAGAAGTTTTGGCTTGTTTTCATACCGGCCACACTGGGTC